CCCGTTGCCACCGCGATGCGCTGTCCACGAACATGATCAGGTACCGGGAGCCGTCCAGCGCGTCAGAAAACGGGCCCGTGTNGGTGGGCGCCTGCCCTTCGCCTCCACGCAGCCCACACATGGCTGCATCTCCCCCACCAGTCGTATGCCCTGCTGCTTGGCCGTTTCACGCATCAAAAATTTGTTTACATGGCCGGTGGAGGCATGGAACAAATTAATATCAATGGTCGGCGTGGATTTTCCTACCGAAAACGGGGAAGCACCGGGGGCGATAATCGCCAATGCATGCGAGAGGGAGGGGGGAGCTACGGTTTGCTGCATACTGCATCCAGCAACGAAACCCTTCAGGCAATCCAATTCATCACTAATCACGGCAAACGCGGGGGGAGGGGGTGTTGCAGAGTCGCAAACATCAAACGCATCCGGAAAAAAATCATCCTGTGGGACCGAGTCTATTCCATCCATCAGGCCTACATCAAGGAACATGCTCATATCCATGAGAGGCAAATGGTCCTGGGGGATGAGGGGGTCGATCACAACTGCACGAAAATCGCTCGGGTCAACGACGGAGGGAGAAGCAATCTCAGACGACGCTACGGCAGCCGTGATTACAGGCTGGTAGTCGGCAATAATCGTTGGCACTACATCTACGTCGATTGGCGGGAATACACAACGCGGGATCACTACACCGGACGTGGTGGATGGGACGCTCGAAGTCGCACTCGCAGACGAAGGTACAACACCGGTAGANTGGCACTACATCTACGTCGATGGGCGGGAATGCACAATGCGGAAGCACTACACCGGAAGTGGCGGATGGGAAGCTCGAAGATGCACTCGCAGACCAAGGTACAACACCGGCAGTGGCACCACCGGCGGACTGGAAGCTCGGATTCGCACTCGAACTCGAAGGTACAACACCGGCAGCGACTCCACCGGTGGACGGGAAGCTCGTACTCGCATGTGTGCCCGCTCCCGTGTTTGGGGGGAAGGGGGGGTTCGCGACAACAAAGCCTGTCCCAACGCTAGGCGGGGGAGCTTAGGGAGACGTACGACGGAGGGCATCGGGACCGAGGGTTACACCACTACCGGTATACGTGGGAGGCAAGCGAGTGGCCCAAAGAGAACATCCTACATCGGAGTAACCAAAGGAAAGCTGACCATTGAATAGATGCACGCCATTTTCATCTAACGTAATTCTCTGCCTACGCTGCGTATGGTGCAGAGAAAACAGATTGAACGTGATAACCGGGGACTACGTACACGTCCGACATCTGCTCGCAAAAATCGGCCTCGCCCGAAGGTCCAGACATGTGAAATGCCATGTTGATGCTACTAACACATTGCACGCGCAGAAAGGCACCATTCCCTACTTGGATGAACTCTTTTCCTGCTGGGATCGGCTTCATGTCGAACATGTTATAGCTACTGCTGTNATTCTCTGCCTACGCTGCGTATGGTGCAGAGAAAACAGATTGAACGTGATAACCGGGGACTACGTACACGTCCGACATCTGCTCGCAAAAATCGGCCTCGCCCGAAGGTCCAGACATGTGAAATGCCATGTTGATGCTACTAACACATTGCACGCGCAGAAAGGCACCATTCCCTACTTGGATGAACTCTTTTCCTGCTGGGATCGGCTTCATGTCGAACATGTTATAGCTACTGCTGTCAAACGTGTTGCTTGCGCCGCTGTCGGCCCAAAATTTCTCTCTACCAATCTGTGAAGGGCGACTCTGAACAGACAAAGCGAAACCACTACCATTCTCACGCGCTACCACACTTGGAAAGATCTGCCCCTTGTGACACAAGACGTGTCTTGAGGAAGTGAAGATGCCCAGGGGATCCGGCTGCGTCGGGAGGAGGCGAATGGGACGGGGCATGGGTCGAGTGCTGCTGCGACTGCGGCTGCTGCTGGAACGACGGCGGTGGCGGAGGCTGCGGCGGTGGCTGCTGCTGCTGCTGGTAGTACGTTGTCGGTGGCGGGTAATACGGCTGCTGCTGAAAGCTGTAGTCTGGCAAAGATTGCTGATACTGTGGCTGATGCTCCCACCCCCCATACTCGTTACCATACGCGGTCCCCTCATGGGGCGCGGCACCATACGGTTGACTTACATTTGTATGCCCGTACGGGGGCCGCCGCTGCTGCTGCGGTGTACGAGGGAGAGCTGGATGTCCATGATGCTGATGTCCTCCGTAGCCGCCGTGACGAGGCGAATGGTACGGGGCATGGGTCGAGTGCTGCTGCGGCTGCGGCTGCTGCTGGAACGGCGGCGGTGGCGGAGGCTGCGGCGGTGGCTGCTGCTGCTGCTGGTAGTACGTTGTCGGTGGCGGGTAATACGGCTGCTGCTGAAAGCTGTAGTCTGGCAAAGGTTGCTGATACTGTGGCTAATGCTCCCACCCCCCATACTCGTTACCATACGCGGTCCCCTCATGGGGCGCGGCAC